CCACCGAAACCCCGGAGGTCCTGGAGGGAAGCTGAGAAGTGACAGAGTGGAGATTTTCCAGATGTCTCCTTTGTACCTGTCAGGATTCAGCTTTGATGACAGAGCCATTAAGCTAGACAGAACACGTGTCCTGACTATTAAAGAGAGGCAGTGAAAATTGTGGGGAGGACACAGAGTGGACAGAAAGCCCTGCCCGAGGGCCACACCGGGCAGGAGGCAGAGGGGACTTGAAGGCAAGCCCGTCTCCGGAGGCTGGACCGCCACTTCCTCTGGATCTGCCACCTGCTCCCCACCGGTCACCAGGCTGCTGGAAGGGCACCCTTCTGCTTTCTCCTCCCTGCCTTCCCGCTGGGGTCTGTAACCATTAGGGAGTGAGCTGGGCAGGGTCTCCATGAAATTACCTTAGGACACAGGACACCGAGACAAAACGAGCCTTCGCTACCAACAGCTGGCGCCTCGGAGCCGTCACCAGGAGCCAGTCACCGGGCTCCATGCGTTACGCGCCACAGCCCCTTCCAGGTGGTGGCAATCCCCAAGCCTGTTTCCAGGTGACGCTGAGGCGCAGTGAGGCTGAGGCTGGCGCAGCAGGCTGGGTCTGAAGCCGCACGGTCTGTGCGTGCTCCCAGGACAGCAACGCGTCTCGCAGCTCATTTTGGAAGTCTCACCGCGATCTTCGGTCAGTGGTGCTTGTGAATGTGACACGCAGAGACGGTCCAGTATTTCCTAGCAGCCATGCTGCCAGCGGGCGGAGAGCAGGGCCCCGAGCACTCTTTATCCAGGAGTGACACCTGCACCCCAGGGGAGCACAGCCGGAGGGGGGTCTCCCCCTGCCTTGGTGTTGGGGTCACTAAGGGACTTTTTATATCCTTCTAGGGCCCGGATCCCTAACCCTCCTCCCACCCCAGCTCCTGGCTCCTGGCTTCAGATCAGCTCAGCTCTGGCTGCTGCGGCCATTTGGGGAGTGAACCAGCAGATGGACGACCTCTCTTTCTCTGGCTGTACCTCTCTCTCTGTAACTGTCTTTCAAATAAATAAAATAAATCTTAATAAAAAAAGATGACTGCAGCTTAAAAAAAAAGTCACACAGGGGACTGAGCCAAAACCCAGGCCATACTTCACCTGCAAGAGAAAACCACCAAACACGCATGGGAAGAAAGACCTCAGGGAGCTGGCTTTTGGAGAAAACAGACAAGAGGGTCGGGGCAGGGAGAAGAGATGGAGAGGAACACAGGCGGTTAATCCTTACAGAGCAACCTAGTTACCTGCAGTGAAGTCTGATGGGCCAGCCCAGGGCAGGCCCCTCCCAGCTCTGAACCAGCCCTGACCCTGGCAAAGGCAGGCAGGCAGGCAAGAAGTCCCCCAGTCTCAGTCCTTGGTCACCTTCTATCCCGTCTGTCCTTCTCCTGAGGCCATCTTCCTGTCACCGGCCTCTACACCGGAGTGAGCAAGGGACAGGGCTTGGACCATTCTGAGGAGAAAAGCTTCAGTAGTGTTGCGGTGAAAGCCACAGAGGCCGGGGTGGTGAGGGGTGTGGGTAGGATGGCAGAAGGCGGGAGAGGGTGTGAGGGTGCTGGCCAGCCCAATGCACTTGCAGACATGGGACCTGGCTATCTCAGGAATGGGAGCACGTGGACTACTGGATGGACGTTGGGTTCGTCGTCCGAAGGTCCTCTGCTATGCGACCTGACTTTGTCACCTTCCCCAGGCCTACGTCCATCAGGAAAGTAACAACCAGATGAGCCCCAAGGCCCCCAGCTCAAACATGGTTCAATACTCTCTCTAGCAGTGAGAAAATCCCTTAAAGGCACTGCAAAAGCTGCTTTCCTACCAAACCACAGGGAAAAACAGAAAAGAAAGAAGCGAGGCTGGCAGGCAGGGGCTGCAGTGGCCATGGGTCATAGCCGGACGCGGGGCAGTGTACAGGATGGCAGCTAAGGCTCTGGACTCCGCGGCCAGGGCCTGATAGACAGCTGGATGTGCTAGCCTGAGAAAGGCGTAGAAAGCCGGTGCTGTGGCTCACTTGGCTAATCCTCCGCCTGTGGCACCAGGACCCCGGGTTCTAGTCCCGGTTGGGGCGCCAGGTACTAGTCCTGGTTGCTCTTCTTCCAGTCCAGCTCTCTGCTGTGGCCCAGGAGGGCAGCAGAGGATGGCCCAGGTCCTTGGGCCCCTACACCTGCATGGGAGACCGGGAAGAAGTACCCAGCTCCTGGCTTTGTATTGGCGCAGCGCTGGCCGTAGCAGCCATTAAGGGAGTGAACCAATGGAAGGAAGACCTTTCTCTCTGTCTCTCTCTCTCACTGTCTAATTCTGCCTGGCAAAAAATAAAAGAGAGAGAGAGAGAGAGAGAGAGAGAGAGAGAGAGAGAGGCGTAGAGACAGCTTTGTCTCCAGCTCTGCTTTTTGTCCCCCGGCACTTTCCCTTGGCCTCTCACGTGGTACAATTTGGGGAGGTGATGCAGCGTGGATCCCCCGGGTTAGGTCACTTTGGGGTGACCCCAGGATGTCTCCACCTCCTGTTCCAGAGGTCCTGAGTCACGCAGATCTCTGTCCCCTCGGCCCCCCGTCCGGGGCAACATGGCCAGCTACTGTACGAGAACGTCCCTTAGTGATTAACTCATCAAACCCCAGTGCTACCCCTCAGACAACTGACTTGGCAAAGTCAGTCATTCCCAAGACACACCTGTCTCATCCTAAACCAGGGCAAACTCCTGCTTCAAGGCTCACAAGCCACGTCTGGGCGCTTTTCTCCCTCTACCAGTGCTTGGCATTTGTGTGACATAAAATGCTAATTTGTGCACTGAAATAATCTCAATTTTGTTAGCTTGCTTAATCACCTGGAGAGTAAAGCCTCCAAGCAGCTGTCTGATGCCAACAGATGTTCTTTCTACTCTGCTCAAACTGGACAAAGCCCTGGTCCTGCTGACTATGACCAATCCCACAAGGCCAGGGTCACTACCTGGAGTGGTTCACTATGGGCTCATTCTGGAAGCCAAAGACCCTACCTTTAAAAAGTGAACTGTGGAGGCCATCAATGAGGTGCAGTGGGTTAAGTTGCTTCCTGCAATGCCCACATCCCTTGAGCATGGGTTTGAGTCCCAGCTGTTCCACTTCTGATCTAGTTCCCGGCTAATGCGCCTGGGAAAGCAATGGAAGATGGTCCAAGTAATTGGGCCCCTGCCACCCACACAGGAGACTTGGATGGAGTTCTAGGCTCCTGGCTTCTGCCTGGCCCAGACCCGGCTGCTACAGCCACTTGGGAAGTGAACCAGTGGGTGAAAGATCTCTCTTTCTGGTTCTCCTTCTAATTCTGCCTTCCAAATAAAATAAAGTGAACCATGTATGCATGCTTCCAGGGCCACGTGTTTCAGAAAGCTCCGCGGGCTCCGCAGGCCCAGTTAGCAGCCCATGCACTGCTCGGCTGGATGAGCTCCTTCCCTCTCCAGCTCTCTGCTGTGCACTGACTGCATACCAAGCACCGGCTTCAGAAATGTCAAGATGAGGAAAACAGAGATGACTGCCCGCCTCGGGGAGCTGATTGAGACTTCAAAGGACTTTATCTGCAGACTTTCTTTCCAGAACTCTCCCCTCTACCTCCCTGGCTTCCATCCCTTCCATGCCGATCCCCACGCAAAGGCAATCGGCTGACTGTAATGCGCATCTACTCTGTGGCAAGCACCAGCTAAAGATGTCGCGTGGCCCATGAACCTTCAGAACGGTCTATGAAGCATACCCGGTTCTCACAGCCCCAGTTCCTGGGTCAGGAGAGTGCGGCACAGACAGGGAACGGTGGCTGCACAAGCCGGGAAGGCACAGAGAAAATAAAAGTGAGTCCAGGACCTTTGACGGCAGGATCCACACCTGTAGCTGCTGACGGGCTCCACCTTGCCCATTTAGGTCTCATTCCTTTTCTGCAGAGAACTGCTGGGGTTCTGCTCCCCCTCCCACACTACACAATGCCAGCAGCCTTTCCGTGCTTGCCCAAGGGTGGGGTTCAGCTCCCTCCCAAAATTAAACAGAAGCCAGGGCTGCACTGTAGACTGATGCTGTGGCATGAGCTTCGGACCACATCCCAGGCCTTCCAGGCTGTTCCAGGCGACCCTGGCCCAGCCTCCATCTACCCATGGCTACAGGTAGCCTCAGGGGCTATGGAGTAATTTTGGTAGATCTCTGGTCTGCCAGCTAAGAGCTCCCGAACCATCGAACCATCTCTAGCTGTGGCTCTGTGACCCTGAACTTGGCCTGTGGCCTACAGGGTGGAAGGAGAAGCCACAGGCAGGTGACACACCTGCCCTGGGAGGACAGTGGAGGCCAACAATCCACTTGGGTGCCCCACACCCACAGACACGTGCGGCCCACTCACTACAGGGAGGGCCGGTACGACCCGCTCACAGCGCAATGAAGGGGCCCTGCCACGAGGCAAACCTGTTTAGGCTTCTTCTCTTAGCGCTTTCCAGTCTCGCATTAAGCTCACATGAACTCCCGCATTCATTCCTCAATCAACAAAGCAACTCTGTGGAAAACCTACCCTGCGCTGTCAGGTCCTGCCTCTCTCTCATTCACTAACTGGCCGGGCCACTTGGGCCAGGTTGCATAACTCAGCTGTCTCAGCCCGTACTTGGAAGGGTTGTGGTGCGCAACAGAAATCCTGCAGGTACCGGCTGTGGCTCACGGGCGCCAGACACATGGGAGGTAGCCGGGGCTGGGGTGACCCACAAGTAAGAATCCCCTCCCAAAAGGAGTGCACCGTGACCTCGACAAGCAAGAGAAGGCGGGAGGCTTCTCCCGAGGGCGACCTCGGCGCCTCTGGGCTAAGCCCAGGAAGACAGGGATGAGCCAGTCCCATAGTCTCAATGGACGGCGGAGGGAAGTCAGCCACAGGGCCCCGGGCACTTAGGCCCCTGGGCAGGAGAGGCGGTCGCTGAGGTAGGAAGGGGAGGAGAAGAGGGAGGAGGGAAGGACCAGGTCAGCCCAACTCCGACTGCGCAGGGCGGAGCCTGGGCGCGTCCACCCGCGCGCAGGTGAACGAGCCGGGGCGGAGCGCAGCGCAGCCGGTGCCAGGGCTCGGGCGCCCCGGGCCGCCGCTCCGAGCCGCGGGCCTCGACGCTTTTCCCCACCGAGGCCGAGGCGCCCCGGAGCCATGGCCGGCCTGAACTTCGGGGTCGCAGGCGCACTGCTGGGCGTCCTGCTGCTGGGCGCGGCGCGCCTGCCGGCCGGAGCCGGTGAGTGCGGGGCGCGGGGCGCGGGGCGCGGGGCGCGGGGCGCGGGGCGCGGGAGGGAGGCTTTGAGTGTGGGGAGGGGCCGACCACGCGCGACTGCTGACCACCGTGCCGGGGGCTCCGCCAGTTCCCGCGTCGGGCTCGGCGGCCGGTGCGCTCCCGGTTTCGGGCGACCTCGCCGTGGGCAGGGGCCGCCGCACGTGGAAGAGTCCCGGTGCCGGGATCTCGCGGTCCAGGGAAGGAGGGAAAAGCAGTGCGCACAGACCGAGGCCAGGGACGGGGCCGCCGCGCTCGCCTCACGCCCGGGGGCAGGGGCTTTGCCGGGATTCCTGGGACACCCTGGCGGGACGTGCGGAGAAGGCGTTCCTCTCCACACCCACCCCCAACTTCCTCAGAACTGTGGTCGGAGGTCCCGACGCTCACGTCACCTCTCTCTCTCTGTCCACACGGCCCACTTCCCCGCCCCATTCGGAGTTGGAAGCGGCGGGAGGCGGCGGCGTGGCTTGGGGGCCTCGAGCCCTGGCGTGATGGACTTTGACCGCCGGCCCGGGGTGGTTCCGGCTGGGGGAGGGGCCGCTCGGCGCTGCCCCGCGCCAGCGCAGATGTGAAGGGGGACGGGGCGTGGGGGTCCTGGAGGGTTAGGATGCAGTGGGATGACCTGCTTGGACACGCAGGAACTTGGGAGCCGGCCTTTGCACGGGTCTGTGTTTGTCACGAGTTATGCAGGAGTCTTGGGCCTTGGCTGCACCTCGGGGCGGGGGCTGTGCGTTTGTGGTAAGCAGTTAGGTAAAAGAAGGAAGAAAATTCAGCAGGTGAAGCTGAGCTTGGGTGTCGTGGTGACAGCGTGTGACATTGCAGACACGCCGCGGGCCGGCTTCCAGGCGCGTTTGTACACTGTGGGGTGACTTTTGCTGTACCGTGAATATTTTGAGGCCTCACTTTGAGTATGCTTGTTTACTGTTCCTTCCTCAGGACTGAATTTTCGGGATGCCCAAGGTGGGAGGAGGAGGCTGGTTGAAGAACAAAAAGTGGTGTAGGGGGTGCACGCATGTGTGTAGGTGTGTAAATGCGTGTGTGACAGAAAAATGGCTGCCTGCCACTCATGGGGCACCAGGGACACTCTCGGATGGCCGGCGCTGTTTCTTGTTTTCCGCGGTAACGGTCAGGAACTTTTCCAGTAAGAACGTGGTGAAAACCAAGGCATCCTACTGACAAAAATGCCAGCCTGGCCACACCTGGCTTCCTGCCTGTGTCTCCCCTCTGGCTGGGTAGGTCCTATGGAGTCGCTTCCTTACAGGAAGTTGTTGGCTGGCTGGTCCTGCCTCACGGTATAGGGTATAAATACCAGGAAGCCTAGGTGTTTCCCATTTCACTTTCTTTTTTTAAAGATTTTATTGATTTATTTATTTGAGAGGTAGAATTACAGACAGAGGGAGAGACGGAGAGAGAGGTCCTCCATCTGCTGGTTCACTCCCCAGATGGCCGCCACGGCCGGATCTGGGCTGATCCGAAGCCAGGACCGTTTTACTTTCTTAAGTTTAAGGAACTGGCCCTGGGCAGCCACCTTTGGGCCTGGTGGAGGGAGGGCTTGGGGTTGGTGCAGTTTGCTGGGGGTAGCTGGTGGGCCTGGAGTCTTGGGGTGGATCTACCTGGTGGACGTCTTTGGCCTAGTGACTTTATTTGATAAATCTGTGAACCTGCTTAGTGAACTTGGGGTCTCCGCGGAGCTGAAGAGGGAGGGAAAGTCTGTGTGGTGGTGTGTCCTGGCCCCCGGATTTCCAGCAGGGAAGCACTGGTGAAGTTGGAACCATAGCCTTCTTAAAACCTCACCCGTGTTGCTTTCCAAGAACCACTGGGATACTTGCCGATAGTGTGTTTTCCAGAAACGTGAGCGGACGGATTAAGTGATGTGTGTGCTCACCCAGTGAGGGGGTATGTGTGTGCATCCTTCTTCTGAGTGAAATGGGGACTGGCAGGACTGGTGGCTCCCCTGCCTCCTCCTCTTTACTCCCCCCCGCACCCCCCCCCCCCGCCTCTGCACCCCCACCGGTTGCCACCAGCCTAGAGTCAGCAGAGTTACTCAGGGAGCTGCCTGTGGGCTCCAGGGTTCACCTTGGAGGCTTCCAGTGTGTGCAGCTGTGCCCCACCCCACACAGTGGTCCTCCTTGGCTATCAGTATGGGAGAGGAAGTCAAAAACAACACTTAAAGTGTTTTGAGTAGCATCGCATTATTCAAAAAAATCGGTGATACCCATAACCAGTATAGGGAAAAGAAATTGATGAACAGACCGGCCTTGTTCCTTCTGGTCCCTGGTCCCATGTGTGAGTGTGTAAACCAAAACTGAGCCATCTCATTGTACGGCTTTAACTCATCCCCTGTTGTTGGATGTTTAGGTTGCTTCCAGTTTTTCCAGTGTCAGATAGAACCTGGCCAATAGCAGGGGAGAGCTTATAGTGATTTCCACAAGGAAAAGATGTGGGTGGGCGCTGGGGGATAACAAGACCCTGACGTGGAGACCCGTGACTGGGGCCCTCTGCCTTGGTGACCAGTACCCTTTCGTTAGAAATTTTGCCACGCGATGGTGTGATGAGGTGAGCCAGTGCTGTCCTGTTGTCGAGGTTCTAAGGTCGTGTCGACGGGCTCGTCCCGTCTCGACGGATCCGAGTGTACATTCTCCTGGCTGTGCTGCTCTGCGCCTTCCTAACTGTTTCACGCACCTGAGATTCTCCAAGGAGTTCTGGGACGCACAGGAGAGAGGGGCCTGCGGCCTCCGGTGCGTCATTTCCCTGCTGCCTGTGCAGACCGGGCACTGCCGTCCCGGTGCACGTTCCAGCCTGTGCCGCACGCTCTCCAGGCGCTCATGGCCACTGTGTCACCGACATCTGTGCAGGAAGCCTTTTCCTCCCTCTAGGTCAGTGGACGAGTCAGACGGCGCTAGTGGATGCCCCGCCCAGCAGCCACCCTCGCTGGATGCTGCCAGTAGCCCAGCGGTGTTTTTTCATCAAGAGAAAGCAGAACTCAGTCCCTTGGTTTATAACACAAACCCCACTGTGTGTTTGCCCAGCAGTGCAGACCTGGGTTTGGATGGCAGAGGGCGAGGAGAGGGTAGGGGGTAGGGCTGGGGAGAGCAGCGTTCACTGGTCAGGGTGGGGCAATGGGGCATAACAACACCCCTGGTACGGCAGCCCCGTGTCTGAGGCTCTCTGCCTCGGTTTTTAAGAAAAGTTAATACCCTTTAATTATCCTCCTAAATTGTAAAAATTATCCTGCAATTAAATTATTTCAAACTACTTCCCACAACCTTGTAATTAGCCCATCACCTTCTCCGGGGCAGCTGGCAGCATTCTAGACAACCAGGGAAGGAGACCAAGTGCTCACCTCTTGGTAACCTTGGGCTTGTGTTTGGTCCATCTGTTTTTAAAATGACTAATTACTACTGCCCCCGTAGAAGCCAGTGCACGCTGGACATTCACCACGCTGGCCACTCTGCTGGGAATTTTGTATGTAGGCATCTCCCACTTACTCTCAGTCACCCACTGAAAACCAGACACGGTGCAGTAAAACACTGATGCTATACACCTCTTTATTTTGTGGAGGAGAAATTATAATAACCCAATGCAAAGGAATGCAAAACCCTGAGTGGTTTCTCAATGCATAGGGAAACACGGAAGCATACCCATATACAGCTAACAGCAGTCCTGCTCAGTGTAAAATGCCTAAGTCATCACTCAAAGAATGCCACAGCAGTCTTCCAGTTTGCTTTGTGTGTGGTGACTCATTGCGCCTCCCTTACTGACACTCAGGATATCCCCACTTGATTCCGATGTTCTTACTGGAGTTGGGAGTGTAAGTGCCGGCTCCCTGCAAGACATGGTGCTTACAATGTTGTGTTGTATTTGGAGATGTGTATGTGTGTGTGTGTGTGTGTGTGTGTGTGGTTTCCAAAATAGACATTGGCCACAAATGCCCTTTGGTGGATAAAACAGAGATTCTACTCGTTTGAGTAATACGAGTGAAACTGTTGGGAGCAGGTGTTTAGCCTAGTGGTTAAGATACCCGTATGCCGCATCAGAGTGCCCAGGTTGCATTCCTGGCTCTGGCCCCTGACTCCTCCAGTGCAGACCCTGGGAATAACTGAGTCCCTGCTACCCACATGGGAGACCTGGATTTGAGTTCCAGGCTGCTGGCTTTGGCGTGGTGCAGCCACAACCCCTGCAGGCATTCGGGCAGTAAACCAGCAGATGGGACCTCTGGCTCTTGCTATCTGTCTCTGCCTCTCAAATAAATAAATAGGAGAAGTTCTTTAGAAACATGAAGCCTCGTCCTGCTGAGGAAATAGAAGCGAGTCGGTGTTCTTGAGTAGGCCTGCGCGTCAGCTAGCTCTGTCCTCAACAAGTACTTACTCTGACTTGTTGCCCTGCAGTAGGCACAGAGAGGTGAAGTGAGTTTCCCAGGGCCCCTCAGCTGGTGTGGGGTGCCGCTGAGACGGCAGCCCAGGAGTGTGACTCCAGAACCCGGCTCCCAGCACCTGTGCGCTGTGTGCCCACGCATGGTGCACCTCCAGATGGCATTGCTGTGTCTTCTTAAAGATCATGTCTGTGCTCCTGACTTGGTTTCTTTCCTTGGAGAAAAAAAAAATCAACCAACACTTAGTGCTGTGCTCATATGTGTTCTAGATATAGGGATGTGTGTGTGTGTGTGTGTGTGTGTTTTGACAGGCAGAGTTAGACAGTGAGAGAGAGACACACACACAGAGAGAAAGGTCTTCCTTCTGTTGGTTCACCCCCAAAATGGCCGCTATGGCCGGTACACTGCAGCCGGTGCACCGTGCCGATCTGAAGCCAGGAGCCGGGTGCTTTCCTCCTGGTCTCCCATGCGGGTGCAGGGCCCAAGCACTTGAGCCATCCTCCACTGCCCTCCCGGGCCACAGCAGAGAGCTGGCCTGGAAGAGGAGCAACTGGGACAGAATCCGGCGCCCCGACCGGGACTAGAACCCGGGGTG